CCAGTTACTAAATCCAATAAGCTCGAGCAGTTACTCGATCCGATTACTTCCACAGTTACTCAATCCAACAAGTTCCGTAATTTCGCAACCCGACAGCTCGCTGAGTTACCCGATCGGGCAGTTAGCGCAACCACCACTAAGGAGATAGCATATTCGGACATTCAACCACGACAACGGTTTTACAACAGTTGAATAGCACAAGTGAAAAACCTTTTGGTATCTTTCAATGCTTATTGTGTACTGTGCATTTCTTCCTATTATTGTTTCCAGTGCGATATTGTACTAGATCGTATAAGACCAGTAAAGATTACTATCAACGCTGCGGAGTTAAAACAACAAAAGTAAACCTAGAAAATCTTTTCCTCACAAATGCTTCCTTCAGAACGACTTAATTCAGAATATACAATACGTGAAACTATCAAACAAAATTAGAAGTTATTTTAAAAGAATGAAATTAAATTAAAAAACTAAAATTATGATGAAACTGGAAAATCAAAACTTCATCTAAAAGTAGAAATTTTACAATTATTAAGAAAAATGATCATCAAAACTAGAAAAAAATTTTTTATAAAAATTTGTTTTACGAGTAAAATTTTTGCAATTAACGGATGATAATTTGTAGCATCTATTTGGCTATCACTGTAAAGCAAATCATCAAAAATATAGCCAAGCGGATGAGATAACAACAGGGTTCTCACTTTATTACGGTAAAATAGTTAGCAGCAAACTTTCCTTTCCATTGAATTTTTCATCTTGTTAAATTGTAGGTTATTAAATAAATAATTAAAAAGGCACTGACGTTGTTTTGGACATCCTGATGATTTACTTAAAAATCTCTACTTGAGTTTATCCATGCTTGATAAAATGTGAGGTGAGATCAGAATCACCTGTAATTCATTTCCATGGATATTTTGGACTCAAAATTAAGCTAACATGCTCGAATCGGCTTCATACTGCGCTTCATAAGAACGAAATGAACTGATTGCGATCGGCATTACACAGCTTTCGAGTGAGTTAGACTTTCCAAAGCGCTTCTAATTTTAAGGATATGACGAAAATTTTTTGCAGAGAAGTTGGCGGAATTACTCGGAATGTGTGTGATAGCAAGGTTTACCAGATAATCATTAAGTCACGGGTATTAAACTTCAATTTTAAAGCTGTCATAAATTTTACTGAATTACAAAGTCCTTGCCATATAAGTCATCACTTCATTTAATTCATATTCTCCAAAATTTGCAAATTCTCGCCTTGAATGTAGTATTATTCAAAAACGCTTTGAGTATGAACAATATGAAGTTCAAACCAGGATTTTTCCTTCATTTTTTTTAGATTGATATATGAAATTATAACATTTTATGATTCGAGAAAATTCAAACATTTTTAGCTTCTATGTTATTTTATTAAATCTAGATATTTATGAAGATGTGCGAATGTTTTCAATGTTCCTGTCGACGATTCTTTTTCTGATCGTAACAGATATTAAGAATTAATTCTGCTTCTTTCGTTTTGTTTCTTCTTGTCGATTTCTTTACTTTCTTTGCTTCTCACACTCGGATAACGGGACTTCAAACTTGATTAACCAAACCTTTATTTCGATTAGTTGGTTAATACAGTAACGAGCTCAACAATTTACGATGTCGATAAGACAAATTCAGTGGCAATGTCAGTAAGAAAAATAAAAGAGACCTAATTATGACTGATAGGCGCAGTTCATGTATATTCGCAAAATGATTGGTGCTCAGCATCTTCTACCTCCTCGAATGGAAGGCACCTGAACCGTTACAGCTTTGCTGATTCATTCAGTTATTTTAATGAAAGTTTGTCCCATCTCACCTTTTCATGAGCGGCGGCACAGTGAGTAGGGAATTAGATCGGATTTCTCTTATCAATGTTTGATAAGCTAATACTTTCAGTGTTTTGATCGAAGTTTATTTTCAAATTAATGGGATTTATTATTAAGTGATCCCTGCTGCAAATGGAAGAGCCAAAATGACCCTTAGTCAAGAAAAGGTTGGGAAGCACTAACTTAGGGATACCTACTTCGTTATTAGTGTTGTATTTCTCAACAATGGATTTAATGAGATCAGTGTAATATTACTGGGAATGAAAAGAATAATCGATACCGGTGCGAAAAATGGGGTATCGTTTTATCCTTTGAAACTGTGAATTTGCAACATGTCGGATATTACCTTAACCACATGTGTACAACATTCACACTGAAGGAATTCAAAAAGAGTAAATACCTGGGATTACTCAGACTCTCCAAATGTCGAATTTTATCTTCTGAATCGCCCTTATACTTTCTTAAAGTCGCCACTGCTTCCATCCCCTGATTTATCAGGTTTAACATCCCTTGGTCATCTCCCATCATTTCCGCATACTTTCTCTTCTCTGCCCTCTGTTATTGGAGAGAGACCGTTTGAATAAAATCCTTCCATTCTTTGTTGATAAGTTCCAACGTTCCCACATATGTTTCAATTCTTCCTATCATTTCTTTGACAGTTCTTTTCCGTGTTTCATAATGTTGCATAACTCTTCGTGAGGTAATTGTCGAATGATCTCATCAGATCCAGTTCTTTCACTTCGTTAAGAACTTTAATTAGCTTCTCCTTCGCCGGGTTCGCGCTCTGTATTATCGTAAATGACATTCCTTCCTGGTTCATGGCACCATAAAATTCCTGTCAGGAAAGCTAATCTGTTCAATTCGCTTTTCAACGATATGAATTTATTCGGGATGTAATACTGTTCTTGCACAATATTATTAGTTAACAACAAAAGGGGTGTAAAATATGTGTGTATATATTACGCGGTGAATTGGTAAGCAGTGATAAGGAATAAACAAGCAATATGATCAACTAACAAATTCTTTGCCGTTGCCTTCGATAATAACTTGACTATCAGTTAGCTGATAGATTGCGCTATGGTTGAAATATGAGAATTCGTCCTTCGTTGAGACGGGATATGCTGCAGGGAATATTTTTAGCGAAAAGAGGAAATATCGTAGTCTGTTGTTCAGTGGTGGGAGATGTACGAAAAGGATGTCGTAGTTTGCTTGACTGTAAAAAACTAAACTATTTCGGATTTTTCCTTATAACCCCGATACTTATATGTATATATAATATACAAGCAATAAGGAAGTCATATATATACATATATATATATATATAAGGATTAGGATTAGGGAGTTTTATAAGCACTATTGGGGTTATCATGGAGATATGGCTGCCCTTTGGCATTGTCCATTGTGTAGGTACAATGGATATCATTGTCCAGATGTAGATACTGAGGTTTCTTTGTATTATGCTGTCTGTTGTTAGCTTGCATTCTTTCCATTGCTTTAATTCTACAGGATTTCGTCACCCTTTCTGTTAGATGTTGTGGGAATTTATTTGAACATGCCTTTAATTTCGCTTCACAAAAGTGAGGTGAATATGCGGCTTGTAGCCTGGTAGAGTTATCTCCTCCTAGATTTTAAAAATAAAAAGTTCATCCCCTATTTTGTAAAGTATCAGATTACAGTAGCTCCGATCGACCTACAAAAGATGCAGTTAGAGCCAAAATATCCGTTTATTCAAAGCAATGAATTTACTCATAGTTACAAGCAAATATTGTCGGATTATCGAAATTAAAGCCATGTTGAAATAAATTTCCACAATATCTAACAGACGAGGTGATGAAATCTTGTAAAATTAAAACAATGAAGAGAAGCTGACAGACAGCATAACACAAAGACATCTCAGTATCCACACCTGGATAATGATATCCATTGTACCTACACAATGGAACAAGGCCTTTT